AGGCTAGTTCTTTAAGCCCAACCAATTCAATTACCTGTCAAATCTGGACAGGACGTCCTTTCAGGCCTTTTTTATTGTCATTATAGTATTACAGGGAACCCTGTAGCAGCCACATCCGTGCTCAAGCCTCCAACGAGGGAACATGCAGGAGCTGCACCCACCAGCAGTTGCGATACCTGCTACAGCAGGTGGGCGATACCAGCCAGGGGTCAGCCGGTATCATCAGGACCGAGATTCTTCGATGGGCCAGTCACTGCCTCCCCTCCGGTCCCCTCCCCCGTTAAACATCAGCAGGCTCTGCTCAATGCCACTTGGGGGGACCAAGGGCATATCTCTAGGTGGCGGGCACCAAGCTTGCCCAGGAAGGTGCATGAGGCCAATGGGGATTGAACCCAAGACCTCCTGAATGCCACTTGCCTGCCTTACCAACTGAGCTAGGCCGATGTACCTGTTGGGTTGTGGCCTGCATACTCTCACAGGTCGGGGCTCCATTAGTTTTATGGTCCTCTCACTGAAGCTGGCTGATGCTGTCAGTAATTTCCCCGGGTATAATTGTGGGACCCCGGCCCTACTTATATTATTGTTTGTAATAAAGCTGTGTGAGAAAAATAAAAAACAGTTCGGGGCTCCTTTCTTTTTTTTTTTCTTTCCCGGGGCTCCTTTCTCCCTCGGGGCTGCTAGTGTTACCCTTCCCTTTTGATATACAGGCCCTTTCTCAGACCCGGGGGCCAAGTCCCACTTACCAGAAATCTCAATTTCCGACCATAGATTAGGAAGATCGACGGCCAAGAATGAAAGATCAGCGTAAGTGGAACTTGGCCCCCGGAATCCGTTAATTGGATCGATACAGAGACGATTAGCATGGCCCCTGCGCAAGGATGACACGCATAAATCGAGAAAAGAAAAAAAAAGAAGAGAAAAAAAAAGGAAAAGAAAACGTTTCCGAAGTCTCTCTGCAATTTTTTATTTTTTTTTCACGTTTCCTTTTCAAAAAGGGTGACGGCCTTGAGATACCATCATCGAACTGACAGGGGTGGACCAACTGACCTAGGCCAGCTGGTAAATGTTTCACGTTTGATAAGGAGTGCGGCGGGGCTGTAGGGGCCTCGCCGCCCTGCCGCACTACTGACCAAATGTGCGAAATGGCGCTGCCTTTTTTCTGTCTTTTTCACATTTGGTGAGTGGGGCGGCAAGCACGTAGGGCCCTCTCTCCACTACCCACCAGAAAAAAAGTGAAAAAAATGAAATTTCCGGAAGAACGCGGAACGGTACACCGCCATATTTTTTGTCTTTGTGCATGTGGTAAGTAGCGATCATCCATCCCGCGTGTTTCATGAGATCGGTGGTGCGATCTCCTGCCCCTTAGGAGCGACAAGACTTTATACCAGGGCAGTTCCATCGGACATTCCAGTTACGAATGCCAGCCACTGTCGCAGCTACAGTGGCATGTAGCGACCGAGGCTATGGCGGCGGAACCTCGCCCGTAAGGACCCTATGAGCTAGCCCTTGCCAATGCGTAGCTTGAGCGACGGGGTTCCGTCTTTGCGCTGGTCCCACGGTCTCCTGCATGCGTCCATCGTTTCTGATGTTGCCTTTTCTCCGTTTCCTCTTATCTTGTCATTGCAGGGAGACACTAGCGAGTGGAGGGCTGGAGAATTCTTCTGGGAAGGAGATCCCGCATGCAATGCCTCTGTCGTTTATTGTTGGTCGCCATCAACCGTGATTGTCATCGCCATCACCTTCAGTTGAAACGCGTGGCTGGGTGAGGTTTTGGCATCTGCTGTTACTTATAATGTGATAAGTGTCGTTGAACAGCGGAGCTTGTCTCTGATCTTCGTGACTGCCATAGCCACTTTATCTCGCAATGGGTCGTGACGTTTGCTCGTCGTGTGCCCCGCGTGTTGCGTGGGGGAGCGAGATGGATGACTCTGTGGGGTATGACACCTTCCGGTCGCATATCCATGCCGCAGGGACCATTGATTCTAGATTGGTATGCTTGGACTCGAAGACTAGATCCAAAGTGTCGGAGCTGTTTCTTCTCGGTGGTCCTGCGTGTGTAGACGTCGCGCTGCGTCTTCTTGTCCCCAGTTGTGGTGAGTTTGTGAGCAAGGCATGCGGCGCGAAGGAGCGCATGAGGATTTACAACAAGGTCGCCGATTTGGGAGGGTTGCGCGCTATGCGCCTAGCTGCGAGCATGGCGCGCGATGCCACAACTACAGGGGCATCTGCTTCCCCGACATGGGGAAGCGGGGCTTGCTGCGACCACACAAGGTTATTGTTGACGTCATCATCGGTACATTGCTCTGCGCCTCTGCCTGAGTGCGTGGTAGATGACGTGTCAATGCCATGGCCCGGAGGCAGAGGAGGCGTTGGTTGCAGGGGGGTTTGGGTCCTCCCTCACGACGAGAGGAAAATGCTTTTGAGGGAGCTGCATAGCCTCGGCGGCTCCGAAGCTCTTGAGGTGAGATATGCGTATACGTAATGTACTTGTCAACGTTCATGTATAGACATAGATGCTGCGGCATACCTCGATATATCTACCACTTCTGTTGTATGCGTATTAATGGAATATGCCTATGTGTATTGTCTGGGTACAGGCCGGGAAATCGTGCTTTTCATTGCTTCCCTGGAAATTGACGCTAGCAACAGGATTCTCGTCTGATATCTTGATGTTTCTCATCGTGCTGACTGTTCTTCATGTTCCTTGAATTTGTTGTTCACATAATCAGTATGCAATTCTGTTGCTTCTTCCTATTCCTATGTAGTATCCATTTAGACAATCGTCTGGTGTCTGCGTTCAACCCGTTAAAAAACTACCTCACTTTGCGATTCGAAATCCTTCGTATGTTTACGTAATCAGTATGCAATTCTTTTGCTTCCTCGTATTCCTATGTGTCCATTTAGATAATCGCGTCTGGTGTCTGCGTTCAACCCGTCAAAAAAACTACCTCAATTTGTGATTCAAGTCCTTTGTATGAACGGCTTGCCATCGGTATGATGAATGAACTCTTCCTTTGCGTGCTTTCTGTCCAATGAACTCTTCCTTTGCGTGCTTTCTGTCCATTATAATCTCTACAGATTCGCTGTGTCGTCGTTTTCGGGGATCGAATCGAACTTCTCAGAGTAATTGAGTCCGTTTTCAAATGTGTTAGCGCACGTGTGAATGCATTTATTGTTCGTGCACGTGGTACGGCATTTTGTCCTTGTCTGCAAACTGTCTGATTCATGAATGAACTCTTCCTGTCCATTATAATCTCTACAGATTCGCTGTGAGTCGTCGTTTTCGGGGATAGAATCGAAGTTCTCGGAGTAATCGAGTCCGTTTTCAAATCTGTTAGCGCACGTGTGAATGCATTTATTGTTCGAGCACGTGGTACGGCATTTTGTCCTTGTCTGCAAACTGTCGGATTCTCATGGTGTTGCGAAGCTGGGGTTTTGTTGGTGATCGTTAAGTAGACTGGGGTTTTCGTGATTGCTCTTCACTTTCTTTTAAGAAGTTCTGGCTCTTGCCGTGCCGAAGTCCTGTGTGACGTCATTAACGAGCACCGGCCTTCTGTTTGGTTGGCTCGATGGGTTTGTGGCTATCCGTTTCGATCTGCGGGGCGGTGGAAACGTTGTATCTGGCGGGTAAGCAGATCGGAGAGACCTTGACGCAGACAGCCTATCGGCGCGGGAGAAAGGAGGCTAATCAGCTGTATGCCCGACTGTTCAAGGTGGCGGGGTACCGGGGTCTGCTGTCGGGATCTCGAATTGCTGAAGATACCGAGTTTTGGCGTGAGTATGATTGCGCGCTCGAGCCGGGATCTCCGGCCGCCGTTTGCGGCAATGGCTGTTCCGCCCTTCCCGGCCCCAGACTGACCGCGTCTCAGCTCGCAATTCAGCTTTTGCAGGGATTGGAACGGGCTTGTGGAAGAGAGGTACGCCAGCGAGTGGAAGAGATTCTTCTCGGTGAGTTCTGCCTAATCATGACTTCATGCCAACTCTTTCCTTATTCTGTGGCAATTCTTGGAACTTTGTATTCTATTGTTTGATCCCATTCGCTTTTCCGTTTCTGAGTTGTATGTGTTTTCATCTGGAAATACTTCGCGCGCGCTTCGCAACCTTCGGGACTGTCACCGCGCGTTCAATCCGTTGCACCGGTCTCAAGTTTCCTTAGCGCGGTATCCGTACGCTGCTGGTTAATGGGGCATAGATGCTCGTAAATAGTGTACTACCGTGAGCGACAGGTTTTAGTGGTCCTTGGTGGTGCGGTGAGGCGGATTAGTCAAATTAATGCCTTCGCTTCTTCTCGGTACTAAAGCGAAGGCTCGAAAAATCGCGCGTTCCGTTCCCACCGATCTGCGGACTTTCGTCTCGTAATCAATTTTCTTTAGCATCCCAACTGGAGTTTCGCTGGCCAATCCATCTGTCCTCGACTGATTTGTCTCGAATGCTGCAAGCTCTGTTCCTCGACTTCGGTTTCCTTTCTGTCTGTCGACAGTACCTTCAACGTTGCGGATGAATTGTAATAAATGTACGGGCTTAAATCTTCGATATTTTTGTCGTTTGTCTTTCCGATAGAGTGGAACGATCCCCATTGAGTTGTCTTTTTGTGTATCTGCGATTCCACTGTCTCGTCTCTTGCTCGTTCAAATTCCTCAGGTGTCCTTTACTTGTGGAGGCATGCACATGGCTGTTCTCTTTCCGTGGTGCCTCGGAATGGAAAACGCGGATAGTTTAATCGCCGATCTGTATGTTGGCATGGATTCGTAGTGCGTTACGGCCCGCCGTTCGACATCGTGTCGGTCTGGGGATCATGAATGCATGGCTCTGTGTCCAAAATGATTTGTCCGTCCGAAGGTAACTAAGTAGTGCCTAGAGCTTCAAACGAACAAGATGCTGAAGAAACGTTTAGGTGGCGCACGATGTGTCTGCGTGGATGTTGAAGACGTGGCTGTCGTCACCTGTTGTGATTAATCGACCCCACGACGCATTGTGGTGCGCTGTTGGTCGCAGGATCGGAGGAGGGCGGGAATGAAATGCTGCGGCAAATGGTGGAGGGCCGGAAGGGTCCGTTGCACAACGCGGTTGAGAGGCTGGGACCCGGGAAAATGTCGGACGACATCATCGGGTTGTGCTACGCTTTGTGGGCGATGAAGCACACGGGCAGTCTGGTGGCCCGAGGCAGATCTCAGCCCAGTAATGCTTTGGCTGTGTACCAGGTCCGCTCGGGCGCTTCGGCAGCAGCTCAGCAGGGAAAGGCAGTGTGCAAGTGGACACAGCGCGGGCTCCTCAATGAGCTATACGTGTCAGGCGGGGTGAAGGCCTTGAAGGCGGGACAAAGACTGGTGGAGCTGCTGGCGAGCAAGAGGTGTGAGATGCAGGTAGGCGTGAAGGGATCGTGGAGGAGGCTGGGAGAGCTGGAGCGGAAGGCGGTTGCGGAGATGGTACAGGAAGCAGGCGCAGTAGGCCTCAAAGTTGCCGACACGATGATCGATTACTTCTGGTGGACTGTTGGTTGGCGCGCAGCTGCGGGCGACGGGAAGCACGTCACGGTGAAAGAAAAAAGCCGAACATTCTGCAGATGGACGGACCAAGCGATCTGGGAGATGCATTTGATGGGGAAATTGGTGGTTTTGGGAGGTGTCCGAGCCATGGAGGTCGGTCTGTCATTGGTCGAGGAAGCCAGAACGACCCGCTACCCGCAGCGCCTCCAGTCGTTGATGAAGTCGCTGGAAGAACTTGCGGGGAAAGGGAGTGTGCCGGTGGCAACCCAATTGATCGGTGGGCTGAAAATGGGAGGGGACGCTGCCGAGCGCATCTCGGAGGAAGAATGGAGCGTGTTGAACGGCCTGAAAATGCTTGGAGGCGAGTGCATGTTCCAGCTAGGCAAATTGCTCCTTCGCGGGCCGGACAAGTGCCCCCGCGAGAAGCAGAACGACATTCTCTGCGAGATTTATCAAGCCGTCGGGCCAGTGGGCTTGGAAGCCGCCGAGTATTTGCGATCGAAGTCCGTCGACGCAATGACGGACGACTCCGGTGGCGTGAGAGAAAGGTTGTGGGGCTGGGAGGTCACGAGGTGCGAGGATGCCAGGAAGGAGAGTGCTATAAGCGCCGGTGCAGGATCGAGGAAGGATTATGAGAAGCTTGTCTCGAGGCTGCATGAAGCTAAAGCCGAGGGTGGACGCGCCCTCTTGGAAACAGTTCTTTCTCTCCGCAAAGAAGAAGCCGAGGCTATCGGCGACCACTGGCATGTCCCGGAAATGATTCTGAAATGGGCTTTCAATCAACGGTGGGAGATGGTGAGAGAGATGATTCTTCTCAAGGGTACCCCGGGATGGACTGAGGCGCTATCAGGCACCGTCTCCATCAAGAGCCGTCATATCAGTCGTTCCGGAAGAATCATCCTCCAGAAATTGGAAATGTTCCGTCGGCGACAAGTCCGGCAGCTTCTCAAGCTTCTCCAGCTGGAGTATCAAGTGGTTGTGTCCAGCTCCACCGTCGATCTTCAGCTCGACAAAGAGGACTTCGCCGTCGATGGCGATACAGAATGGTGTTCTGCGGGCAAGAGCATCATCGTATTTATCACAGGCAAGGACGCGGAAATTGGTCCTGCCTGGTTCAACGAGAAATTTAAGCAACTCGGAAACTGGGAGTTCGAACCCGCTGTCGTTTTCGACACGCACGTCTACGTGTATCCGCTGATGGTTTCCGTTAAAGGGTGGCAAATGTCGTGGGATCATGAGAGGTGTCCTCCGCGCGACAGGCATCGCTCTCTGTACGTGTCTTCTGGAAGAGCGTGGGACTCGGGTTCAGTGATTTCTAAAGATTTCAGAGAGCAGAAGGTGTGGGCTTTCGCCAGGCTCCGTCTCTTCTCGAATAGTAAACAGTGGGACACTCTGGCGAGGATAGTGGAGGAAGGTCTCAGCGTAGGCACGGCGCCTCGAGCACGTTTGCTTCTCGCCATACGCATTTTTGATCTCGCTCGACTCAAGTGCGAGAGGTACGTGAGGAGCCTCGTGTCGAAAATGGAGTCCTTCCTGCCCTGCAGACCCCAATCGGGATTGATTGCGGAAGCGTTCAAGTTATCTGCAGTGCAGCGCAGCAGTACTCGCACTTGCACGGAGAAGCTCTTGCTATCGTCTTCTGCCTCGAGTTCGTCTTCGTCTTCTTCTTCAGATGACTCGGGGGATGAGGAATGGAGGTTGCGTATGCAGGATGTCTTGAGGAAGGAGAAGGGCAAGAAGAATTCAGAGGTAGTCGAAAAGCGTCATCGTCATGAGCACGAGCACGGTCGGCAGCGCTTTGCTGATCGTCGGGGGGACCACTCTTCCGCATCCAGCTCGGATTCCTCTGAGGCTTCCTCTGAGTCTTCCTCTGAGTCCTCGTCTGAGTCTTCCTCTGACAGGGCCTCTGACAGGCGTCATCGTAAATCGCGTCGTCACGAGGTGAAGGTGCATAAGAAGGTGCAGTCGAAGACGGTAACGGGTGAAGTTCGCCGGCAGCAGAAGACTTACGGTGCTGTCTCAGATGACACTGATGACCTGCATGTGAAGACCGAAGCGAAAACGACCAGTGTAAAGGTGGAGAAGAAGGCAAAGCACGTGCGGCCGGCGGTTGACAGCAGCACCGAGAGCGATGACGATCGCAAGCATCGCAAGCAGGTGAAGACTGTCGAGAAGAGCAAGAAGGAGACGAGTGACAAGCAATCTCGCAAGGTTGGAGAAAGAGGGTATGTCAGCTCCGGGCAGTTGACAAAGGATATGAAGCTGCAAGAAAGGGAGGAAGAGGTCGAATATGTCAGCTCCGGGGGATATGTCAGACCCGGACAGTTAACGAAGGACATCAAGTTCAAAGGAGAGGAGGAGGGAGGGGTACGATATGTTGGCTCCGGAGGGTATGTCAGACCCGGACAGCTAACGAAGGACATCAAGCTGAAAGGAAGGGAGGAGGGAGGGGTGCATCATGTAAGCTCTGGAGGGTATGTGCGACCCGGGCAGTTAACAAAGGA